TCTGTTTTGTTTTGTTTTGGTTTTGGTTTTTTGCCACTATCTGTTTTAATAGTCATTTAATTGAGTATAAAACATCTTATTCTGGTGAGGGTATTTGTTTTTGTTTTTGTTTTTTTGAGACAGGATCTTGTTATGTAGTTCAAGGTAGTCTTGAACTCTTGATTTAGCCCAGGCTGGCCTTTAAATCACGACAATCCTCTTGCCTCAGCCTCTCAAGTACCCAGTTACTTCTGTTTTTAAAATGCATTTTCCTAATGATTGTCTTTTCATGTGTTTATTCATATCTTTCATGAAATATCTATTCAAATCTTTTGTCCTTTTTTTTTCAGTTCTGAGGACAAAACCCTGGGGTGCTCTACCATTGAGCTACATCCTTTTATTTTGAGACAAGGTCTTGCTAAGTTGCCCAGGTTGCCCTTATATTTATAATCCTCCTGCCTCAGCATCCCAAGTAGCTGGTATTGCAGGTGTGCACCTCCATGCTCAGCCTCTTATCCATTTTTCAATTGGATTGCTTGTTCTTACTATAGAGTTGTAGTGTTCTTTACATATTTTGGATATAAGTCCTTTATCAGATATACAATTGGAAATATTTTCTACCAGTCTTTGGTTTTTCTTTTTGTTTTCTTAATGGTGTCTTTTGAAGTGTAAAAGTTTTTGAATTTTAATGAAGTGCATTTTATCAGTTTTTTCTTTTATATATTGTACTTTTAGTGTCATATCTAAGAAATCTTTGCCAAACCCACAGTCACAAAGATTTTTTTCTTATGTCTTCCTTTTACTGTTTTTAGAGTTTTATTGGTTTAGCTCTAACAATAAATGTCATTTTGAAGATTCTTATGACACTTTGTAATAAATACAATAAATGGCATTGTTGGGCCATAATGCATTTGCACTTTTAATTTTATTATATATTGCCAACCTGCACTTTATAGGGGTTGTCCCAGTACATATTGCCAATAAAAATACACAAAATTCCCTATTATTCCATATATATTCCAACAGTATATTTTCCCCCCCTGGTACTGGGGATTGAACTCAGAGGCCCTCTATGAGCTATGTCTCCAGCCCCTTCACTTTTTCTTATTAGAGACAAGGTCTCAAGAAATTGCCCAGCCCGGCCTTGAACTAGTAATCCTCCTGCTTCAGCCTCTCCAATAGCTGGGATTACAGGCAAGTACCACCATGCCTAGCTATGTATTTTTAAATTTTTTAAACTATGCCAATCTAAGTTAAAATGGCATCTCAGTGTATTTTTGTACATTTTTCTTACTAAAACTGGAAATAAACCATTTATTTATTATTTTAGCTTCTTGTGAAATACAGGCTCACATACATCAGGGAGTCTTTTGTTTGATTTGTTTTGTTTTTCCTTATTCACTTGCACCAGCCCTTTACATATTTGGGCAACTAGATCTTATTACTGGTTGCAGGTATTTTTTCCATTTTTGTTATGTGTTTTGTTTTACTTTGTTCATGGTTGATTTTACATGCATATTTTTCAACCATTTGCCTGTAATAGAATATACTGGTCTTTTATGTTTCATATTTAGAAACATCTTCTTTAATTTTAAGATTATTCTTTTTTAAAATTTTTCTCATCCGGCCAGGGATGTAGCTCAGTGGTTCTGGCTCCTGCCTCAAAAGCACAAAGTCCCAAGTAAGATCCCCAGTACCCGAAAAAAAATGTTTTCTCTCATCAATCCTCTAGCATTCTTTTGATTTCATTTTATACATTTGAGTCTTTGATCTTTCTTGAATTAATTTTAGTGTAAGGCCTAACATACTGACCAAATTTTTTTTTTTTTTTATACCGGGCATTGAACTTAGGATCTTGCACTTGCAAGGCAGGCAGCGGAACCACTGAGCTAAATCCCCGGCGTGACCAACTTTTAAACAAGATAGCTGCCCAGTTATTCCAGAAATATTTATTGAATGATCCATCTTTTGCCCGTTACTGTGTGTGTGTGCATGTACGTGTGCGTGTATATGTGAATGTGCATGCACGTGCACTAAGGGCCAAACCCAGGACCTCATGCATGTTAGGCAAATTCTCTACTACTGAGGTGCATCCCCAGCCATTCCATTAATCTTTTTTGGTGGGGGGTACTGGGCATTGAACTTAGGACCTTGGCGCTTGCGCCTTCAAGGCAGGCGCAGTGCCACTGAGCTAACCCTGGCCCTTCCATTAATCTTAAATGCTGTGTTATCATTCCACTCCCAACAGATTAGCTTTCAGAAAGAAAAAGACTTGGATCTTTTTTCACTACAATATTTTAAGAAACTAGAACAGTGGTAGGTACTCAAAAGTTGCATGGTACTTTTTGTGTATATATGGCAAAATATGTATAACATAAAATTTACCATTTTAACCATTTTCAAGGGTGCTATTCAGTGATATTAAGTACATTCACATTATTGTGCAGCCATCAGCACTATTTCCAAAACTTTTTCATCATCCTGAACAGAAATTTTATACCCATTAAACAAAAACTCCCCATCCCCCTCGCCCCCAAACTTTGATAACCTTTATTCTATGTTCTAATCTGCCTATTATAGGTACTACATGTAAGTTGAATCATACAGTCTTTGTCCCTTTGTATCTGGTTTATTTCACATAGCATTATGTTTTCAAGGCCCACCAATTTTAGCATGCATCAGAATTTCATTCAACCAAATAAGTCTATTGTATTTATGTACAACATTTTATTTATTCATTCATCTGTTAATGGACATTCAGGGTTATTTCTATCTTTTGGTTATTGTGAATAATGCTGCTGTGAACACTGACTGGTGTACAAGTACCTATTTGATCACACTTTCAGCTCTTGTGGGTATCTATCCCACAGTGGAATTGCTAGATCAGATGACACTATGTTTAACTTTTTGAGAAAGCATCAACATGTTTTTCAAAGTGGCTGCACTAGTTGACACTCCTATCAGGAGTGCATAAAAGGATTCTAATTTCTCCACATCTTTATCAACAATCATTTTTTCTTTTTTTTTTTTTTTTTTGGTACCGGGGATCGAACTCGGGTCCTTGCGCTTGTGCAGCAGGTGATGAAAACACTGAGCTAAATCCCCAGCCTAACAATCATTTTCTTTATAGTAGCCATTATAGTAGTAGGGAAGTAGGACCCATCATGGTTTTGATAATCATTTCCCCTATGACTACTGATGTTGAAAATCTTTTCCAGCACGTTGGCCATTTGTATATCTTCTTTCGAGAAATGTCTAATATAGTCCTTTTTTTTTTTTTTTTTTTTTTTTTGGTGCTGGGGATCGAATTCTGCTCTTCACGCTTGCATAGCAGGCAGCGAAACCACTGAGCTAAATCCCTGGCCCAACCTATTTTTTAATTGGATTGTTGTAAGAGTTATATATTCTTTATATTAATCCTTTATCACATGTATGACTTGCAAATACTTTCTATCATTCCGTGAAGTGTCTTTTCAGTTGCACAACGTTTTTTTGTTTGGGGTTTTTTTGTTATCACCCCCCACCCCCGGTACCAGTGATTGAACTCAGGACCTTGTGCTTTCAAGGCAGGTGAGGCACCACTGAGCTAAATCCCCTGGCCCTGTTTGTTTGGTTTTATGAGATAGGGTCTCACTATGTACCCCAGGTTGGCCTTGAACTTGCAGCAATCCTTCTGCCTCAGCCTCTGGAGTGCTGGGATTATAGGTAGGTGCCACCACACCTGGCATGCACAATGTTTTTAACTCTTGAGAAGTATGCTGCTTCCATTACTATTGTGTATCTCAAAACAAACTTGTAGGATTTTTATTTTGTTTTGGGTTGTTTTGTTTGCAGTACTAGGGATGGAACTCAGGACCTTGCACTAGCCAGGCAGGCAGGTGCCACTGAGCCATATCCCCAGCCCTGGGGGTATCTTGTTTTGTTTTGTTGTTTTTTGAGACAGCATCTCTATGTAGTTAAGACTGGCCCTGAACTCATTATATAGACCAACCTGCCTAGAACTGATACTCCTGCCTCAGGCTTGAAAGTGCTGGGATTACTGGTATGGGTTATGCCTAGAACAACTTGTATGATTGTCCTCACCCTACAGATAAGAAAACTGAAATCCAATCAAAAATAGCACCTTGAGACCATGTTAAATTAAATGAATCAGACACACAAAACTAAACATCACGAGGTTTGAGGTTTCTTTTTTTGTTTGTTTTTGGTACTGGGGATTGAACTCAGGACCTTGCGCTTGCGAGGCAGGTGGCGGCACCACAGAGCTACACTCCCAACCCTACAAGGTTTCTTTTATATGAGAAACCCAGAATAAAAATAGAGCAAAATAAAAAGACAGATAATAGGAAGTATGGAGACAGATCTTTCTCAAAGAGGAAGAAGGTCAAGAGATGGAAGAAGGGGGAAAGAGGAGAGATAGGGGATGAAAAAAAGGAATTGGAGGGCTCGGGGATTTAGCTCAGTGGTGCCAGCGCCTGCCCCACCCCCACCCCCACCCCCGCAAGCTCAAGGACCCGAGTTCGATCCCCGGTACCAAAATAAAAAGAGAGAGAAGAGGGGACGGAGAAGGAATTAAGATGTGTTATGTACATGCACTAACTTTCCACAAGTAAACATTATGTACTACACACATGTACTAATAAACAAAAATTTTACAAAAATAGCACACTGCCTGGCACATAAATGGGTACTCAAACTTAGTTGTTATTGCTGGTTTTGTTACTGGTTTAGAAATATTTTTAAAGTCTCTGAAAAGTAATAGAAGCTGCTTCAAAATGGACAGACTGGCGCTAAAATTAAAAGCCAGTAGTCCACAGTAAGAAAGAAAAAAGCCAGAGCCAGAGCTCTCCAGTGAGAGCTGCCCCCCATGCACAGATTTCATAGGCACACCGTCACACTTCGCTAACCTCCAAACCGCAAGGTCCTCCCACCTTCACCTCCTACCCCATCCAGATCCCAAGGCCACTTCCGCCCCGGCCCCAGGAGGTTTGAGCAAACCAGCGCGTGCGCCTTCAGAGTGTCTGCGTGCCATTTGCTCTGCAGGGCTCACCCACTCTACTTCCGGCGCGGAGGTGAGATTCCACCAGCCCTGGCGCTTAGTGATGATGTCAGATCCCGTTACCCTGCTGAGTCGGAAGTGGGAACCCTTTGGCCCCTGAGACTGTTGTGTCGTCGTTGCTGGCCCTTCAGGCCCTGGTAAGAGGAGGTAGCTTGAGGGAATGGGATTGTTGAGTCTGAAATGGGAATTTTTCTCCTAATCTAATGTCAGCCCAGTCCTCTGCACTCTTGCCTCCTCCGAATTCCTTCTGTACTTTCCTGACCAGGAACCCTCTCCTTCACGAACTTCGACCCTGCCTGATTTAGAAACCCTTAGAGTACTCCAGTTTCTCTTATCTTTGTGTACATGTCTCTTCCCCGCTTGTCTGTGGACCTTCAGGAAAAAACTAGAACAATGACTTTATCGTTTGACTTTCTTTCTCTAACCTGAACCAGGTAGGTGCATCCCCCTCCTTACCACGAATCCCTGATGGAATTTGAAGGGATTAAAATAGAGAGTAGACGACAGATAGCCAGGTGCCAGGAAGATAAATTATGCGTAGTAGTAATCAAACTAGCTGAGTGCATATGGCAAGATGTTGACTTTTTTTTTATGTTGACATTTCTTGAGTCAAGTAATGGGCCCATCACTCATAATTCCTGGCACTCTGCTTCATGTTTCTTTAGATTTATAAGATATTTCTAAAATTGAGTGTCTACAACTCAAGAGCTTAAATCTAGCAAGTGTTGCTCTAGGGATCAGTTTCTTGCTTCCAGAGCAAGAATGTTTATTGTCACTGACCTTGATCATTTTGGTCCCACAGGGCGATAAAGTGGGACCCAAGAAGGAATGCTGTCTGCTTTTTTACTTGATGAAATCCTGTCTTGTACATAGATGTATTGAAAGGATTTGTTGCTGCATTTGCATGGCCTGAATGTATTATGTGTGGAACATGTTACATGAAAACGTTTTTTAAATTCCTGTCTTTATTTGATGTGTGTATTACCAGGACAGAGACTTTACAGAGTGTGATTTATTACAGCTTGATTTATTTATATTTATTTATTTACATGTATGTGTGTGTAATGCTGGGGACTGAACACAAAGCCTCATGTATGCTAGTGCTCTCTTATCACTGAGATACACAGAGCTTGATTTTAACAATCCCAGTTTTACAGAGGGTTTTAGATATTTCTATTTTAAAACAATGCTAAGTCTGATGTTAAAACATTTGTTTGCGAGGCCAAAGCTCAGCTTCTTCTCTAAGTCTCATTTTCTGTCTATATATTAATTAATTTGCCTTGTGCTGTCGTGTCTCACAGGAGACTAGCACTTACTGCAGAGGTTCTAGTAATGTCCCCTTTCCCTGTTCCTACATCCAGGTAAGGTAAATTTTATAGGCAGAAGGCCAGTCAGTGATTATCTGGAGCAGTGGCTGCCTATGGGAATTGACTGCAAAAGAACTTGAAGAAAAATTTTTGAGTGATGAAAATATTCTAAGCGATTGTGATGATGGCTTCAAAACTTTATATAGTTACCCAGTATTGTTGAATTGTACGCTTACAGTGGATGAATTGTGAGATATGTGACTCAATAAAGCTGTTTTTAAAAAGCTAAAAAAAAAAATTTGTTTGCTCACAAGAGGTGATAGTGGTCTTTAAAAATTAGTTGTACTAAAAAAAAGAAAAGATTAGTAGTACTGGGGCCGGGTGGTTCCGCCACCAGCTTTGCAAGCGCAAGGTCCTGAGTTCGATCCCCGGTACAAAAAAAAAAACCAACAACAACAAATAAAGATTAGTAGTACTGTTCATAAGCAAAAACTTAAATCAGAAAAGGGTGAGAGAATTTTGTAGGGCCAGAAGTAGACAGCTCTTTACAGATGTTTGCCCTGGCAGTGGGTATACAGTTGTTTTCAAGGGGCCCTTATTTTTTTTTTTAAATCCAACCCAAAAGTGTCTTAAGAATTCATGGTTGTACCATCCTAAAGGGTACCAACAGGATAGGGTTGTACCTCTGCCTTACAGGTAGTTTGTTTGTTTTGCAGTACCAGGAATCCAACTCAGGACTTATGCTTGCCAGGCAGGCATGGTGCCACTGAGCTACATCCCCAGCCCTTGCCTTACAGTTGAAACAAAGAGATTTAAAATAGGACATTGCACTGGACGTGGTGGCACACACCTTAATCCTAGTACTCAAGAGTCTGAGGCAGGAGGATCACTGCAAGTTCAAGGCCAGCCTGGGCTGCAAAGTGCATTCAAAGCCAACCTGAACAATATAGCAAGATCCTGTCTCCAAAAGAAAAAAGAAAAAAAAAGCATACAACATTGTTACACAGGCTTGGTGGCACACACCTGTAATCCTAGCGCTAAGCAGAGTGTGGTGGTGCACACCTGTAATCCCAGGACATGGAAAGCTAAGGCAGGAGGATCGCCATGAGTTTGAGGCCAGCCTGGTCTACACAGTGAGTTCAAGGCCAGCCCTACCTACATAGCAAGAACCTGTCTTTAAAAAAAAAAAAAAAATGTAGGCCGGGGATTTAGCTCAGTGGTTCTGCCACCTGCCTCACAAGCACAAGGTCCCAAGTTCGATCCACGGTACCAAAAAAACACAAAAAATGTAATCCTTGCACTCTGGGAAGCTGCAGCAGGAGGATCACAAGTTCAAGTTCAACCTGGATAACCTGGAGAGACCCTGTCTGAAAATTTAAAAAAAGGACTGAAATGTAGCACAGTGCCAAGGCTCTGGGTTCAGTTGTACCGAAAATAAATAATCAAAAGGACACTGGGCCAGGGATTTAGCTCAGCGGTGCCGCTGCCTGCCTTGAAACCACAAGGTCCTGAGTTGATCTCTGGTACCAAAAAAAAAGAACATTGTTGAATACTAAACAAAATATCAAAGTTCCATTTTATTATTCTTTTAAGAGCAGGTGATATCCAATCCAGGCACTCTTACTTACATTTATAAGTTAATTAAATAAATCTAGACTGGCATCTCCACATGGGTTCTCATTAAGTGATCAGCCCTCTTTTTTCCTATGATTACACAGTTGAGCCTTTTATTTTTCATGAAGGGTTTGTGTGTGTGTTTTTAGTACATATGAAAAAGATGAGCTTAGTAAAATCTTTTTGTTTTTAACAGACATTTGAGATGACCACGAATTTAATTCCGTTCTCTAGTCAACACCACTTTAGATGCCAAAGAGCCACAGTGTCTGCCCTGGTGGCTTTACCTTTGACAACATCCCAAGACATGTAGTAGAGTTCCTATCTTGAAGTAAGATCATGGGTAATGGTACTGGTTACAAGAGATTGTGGGTAACTACATGTAAGTGTCATTCAATAAACATTCACTTAGGATTTTATGATTGTACAGCATAATGCCAGACACGGAAGAAAGAATAATCAGATGTGAACCTGTGCTCAAAGAGCTTACAGTCTAGAAAAGTAGAACGCAGAAGATATGCTTAGGAATATAATGTAAAAAGTTGTAAATCTCAGTAAAAATATAGATAAAATAGAATAGGAAGCTAGCTTCTTTGCCTGATGGTATAATAGTATAGCAAAAGAAGGAAATAATGTCACCTACGGTGATAAATCTTCTGCATCTCTTGATAATCTTGAGAGTCTGTGTTAAGTATACTGTGTACATGGGTTTTATCTTTCTCTGGATAAGTGGTGCAGGTGGTATATCTCCTTTGTATCACCTGGACTCTTTCAGTTGTGTTTAAAAAATTCAAACTGCCTTTTCCAATTGTGGGGGCCATTTATTGGCTTCCGTAACTGAAAAGTCTGGAAGACTTTATCTTTCCCATCTCTAAACTCTGTTTTTCTATATGTTACTTTGGTGTCAGGGTAGACCTTTTCTACATGGTGCAAAATTCAAGGTTTATATCTTATCAGCCTAGCAACCCAATCAGACAAAAAAATTCCCTTTTCTGTAAGTTAATCAAAGGCCTGAAGCTGATGTTCACTGACTCCTGTAGACCTTGGTAGGATCTTGGTTCCACTCTTGAATTGGTCACTTTGGCCAGCAAATGCTGTTCTCTTTCAAAAGATCAGATTCATGGAGCTGGTGGATGGGGTCAACCTTTTCTGAATACATAGAATTAATTCGTGGAATTAATACCCAGAAGAAAAACTGAGGGTGTCATATTGCAAAAAGAGGATGGCACTACACTTTTTGCATTCCTCTGGAATTCAGGGTACCTCAGAATTGGAGGAATGGTGGTGGTCAACTAACAGTGAGATAGTTTGAGGTATCTCCAAATGAATTAGAGATGTTAATTAAACTTATGTAAAGATTACAATCCTCTCAAGGTTTGTTGTCATTTTCACACTAAATATATCTTTTCTGGCATTAAGCTCGACTAAAGTATACATAGCAAAAAATAAAATAGAGCAACATCTAACAGTTCAGTTCATTGAAGCCCTGTACCATGTTGAGAAGAGAGTAGGCTTTCTGCCTAAGTTATTGCAGCTAATTAGCCATTATCCCTTATGCAGAAAAAAGCAGAAGATGTGAAGCAACTGATGGAGATGTTGGAAAATTATTAAGTATTATAAACTGTTCATCCTGTAAAGATGAACTTTTTTATTAAGTATAATTTTTTTACTTGCATTAGCTTTTAAAATATAATTCCATAAAGAGTCTTATCTTAACTAAATGCAGACCAAATGTTCTTTTTCTTTTCTTCCTTTCCACCCATCCATACTCTTCCTAAAGTCCAGTAGCAGTTTAGGATCCTAGTAAGCAGAATGTTCGTGCTCTGTGTCTCTGCTGACCCTTTTCAGGGTTGTATTTTTATGCTGTGGCCTTAATCTTTTAAAAAGGGAAAAATGACTTTCAGGGACCTCTGCTTATCCCATTTTGCTACTGAGTCCACTTAGCTTTGAGTGAGATGTAATCAGAAGAGTGCAAATATAGGCTCTGGCAGCTCCTCAGTATCTTTAAGGTATATGTCTGTCACAGGGGTTACACATACCTAACAGTTGGAATTTATATTTCTTTGATACTATTAAAAAATCAGATAAGGGGGCCAGGGATTTAGCTCAGTGGTTCCAGCGCCTGCCTCGAAAGCACAAGGTCCAGAGTTCAATCCCCAGTACCAAAAAAATTAAAAATCAGATAAATCAGTTGGAAGGGTTTTTTGTTTTGTTTTGTTTTGGTACTGGGGATCAAACTCGGGTCCTTTCGCTTCTAGGGAAGGGTTTTTTTGTTTTGTTTTTATTTTTTGGTACCAGGAATCAAACTCAGAACCTTGTACTTACCAGGTAAGCACGGCACCACTGAGCTAAATCCCTGGCCCTGGAATTTTTATTTCTTTAATATTGTAAGAAATCAGAAATTTATATGTAGAATTAAGCAAAGACTATTTAGATTTTAGTTGAAAAATGTCAGTAGTTTTAAGCCTGTAAGTAGAGATAGATTGCTTAGTATACATTAAAAGATCCACAATATACAGCTGATCTAGTTCCAGTCCGATTTACCATTCCAGATCTATGAGTTGCTATGTAGTGAGGAATTCCTAGCTTCAACCCTAAGTCATAGGTATCTGAGTAGATACTCCTTTGTCATCCCTATAGTGAATGAGAACTAGGCTGGCAGCTTAGAGACTTATGGGAAATCCATAGTTCTTGTCTTACTTCCTAGGTGCCATGTCATTCTTCTAATTATTAGGGCATTCTCTCTTTGTCAGTAATTCTATTTAACCTGTTTTCTTAAAAATATAGCACATAGAAATAGGTCAACAGATAAATGCATTCCATTTGACCATGTTTTAAGTATTTTGGTTTTAGTTGTCCCCATATCACCATCTCGCCAAAAATACCTTGAGTTTTGGAGCAGGAATTGGCAAATGTTAACTCAAAGTCTCAAATGTATTTTTTTGGGTACTGGGGATCGAATTCAGGTCCTTCTGCTTACAAGGCAGGTGGCGAAACCACTGAGCTAAATCCCTGGCCCTCGGATGTATTTTAAGAAATGGGAAAAGAAACAACCATGGGTATATTACAGTTGTGTTATCTGCTCTTCTGAGTCTAATACCCGCCCTTTGCGCAGCCCCACCCCCTAGGTCTGGATGGAGGATACCTTAAAGTGAAATGACAGACCAGGAGAATAACAACAACATCTCAAGTAATCCCTTTGCTGCTCTTTTTGGCTCCCTGGCTGATGCCAAACAGTTTGCAGCAATCCAAAAAGAGCAGCTGAAGCAGCAAACTGGTAAGTAGAGGAGCCAGTAGCAGCAGATGACAGGGCCTTGGACTGGGGTCTTCCCAAATTAAGTATTCTTTGGGTACTTAATTACAGTTGGAATTTAAATTTGGGGCAGAATTTGGTTTTTGTTTGCTTGGGCCAGAAGTTTTTTGTTTGTTTGTTGATGGTGGTGGTGGTCTTTGTTAGGGGCCTTCCCCCTCCCGTTTTCTCCCTTGCATGAAAAGAGACCAGATAACAGGTGGTTCCATAGGAACAGATGTCCGTTGTGGTCCCAAAACTGTCATCATGTGATCACCTAGTAAAAGCTTTTAAAATAAATCTTTCTAACATAGGAAAACAAGGTAGTGGGTGTGGGTACAGAAAACAAGTTGTACACAGCTTGTAGAAAGCAGATATAAGAGGAAGAATTATAAACACTTTTTGACCTGTGGACAAGAGATTTGTCTTTAAGTTTAGTGCTTAAGAAGCCTCTCAAATGAAATACTTCTTCCATTGTATTGAATGACCTTTTTTGTAGCATGCTGCTGTTAGGACAAACTTATAAGAAAAATCTAATATTTAGCTTTAATGTGAAAATTAATCCTCTCACTAACCAGAAAAAATGGTTTTTCCTCATCTGAGACCAAATTTAAGATCAAGTCCAACTTCTTCCTAGCAGGAGGACTATACGAATGACAATGTTTTTCTGACATTAGTCTTCTGAAGACATTTACAGTCTTTCAAAGTAGAAATTGTTCCCCTTTTTCCCCTCCCCCAAAAAGAATGATAGTATTTTTCTTTTTAAGAAAAGGAGGGCCGGGGATTTAGCTCAGTGATTCCGCCACCTGCCACGCAAACACAAGGTGTCCCAAGTTGGATCCCCGGTACCAAAAAAAAAGAAAGAAAAGGAGAAATGTTTACGTTTTTCCTTTATTTAAAAAAAAAAAGTTCAAGGGCATAGTTAAATTGTGATCTTTCTATGTGATTAGGATTGAATAAAAATGACATAAAGTCAAGACAGATCAGTGGTAGACAGGGTAAAAGAGAGAACAAGGCCCAGGTAAGTGCAGTGTTGACTTTTTACAGGCTGTAAACAGGCTGACTAGAGTTGAGCACATTGCAAGCACCAAGCAGTGGAAACAAGACCAGCACATGCCCTTCTGTTGCTCTTTTGGCATCTCATTGTCTCACTTTGTTTATACTTAGTTTATCATGCCACCAGGTCCAACCTCTTTGCTGCCAGAATTAGTACTCTGCCAAAACCTTTGGCCTCTTGTATTAAGCTTCATTTTCATAAAACACCCTGTACTCCCTACTTGTGAGAGTTTTACCAGGACTTTCAAAAGAACCATTCTGTTAATAAGAAAAGCAGATATAGGCTCATGTATGACTTTTAGTGAATAATACTGCTTTTGTTTGCCTACTAGAGTTTGGATCCAGGGCCTCACACGTGCTAGACAAGCGCTATACCCCTAAGTTACAACCACAGTACATAACACTTTTTTTTTTTTTTGCAGTAGTAGAGATTGAAAACAGGACCTTTGGACTAAGCTACATCCCCAGCCCTTTTCTTATTTTTTATTTTGAGACAGTGTCACACTAAGTCACTAAACTGCCCAGGCCAGGCTAGAACTTGTAATCCTCCTGCTTCAGCCTTCCGGGGTGCTGGGAGTACAGGCATCCACCATTATGCCAGGCCATAGCACTACATTTATAGTCTTTTGACATTCTGAGAGGCACTCTTTTTTTTTTTTTTTTTTTGTACTGGGGATCAAACTCAGGACCTTACAATTGCAAGGCAGGTGGGGCACCACTGAGTTAAATCCCTGGCCCCCTGAGAGGCACTCTTAAGTTGCTTTATAAAAAATTAAAGGGATTCAGTCAATGAGAAAGTAGAGAGGGGAGGAAAACAGATATGACAGACAACTTATATATAATAAATAATGAAAAAAATCTATTCTGACTAATCATTAGAAAAATGCCAATTAAAACAATAAAGCAGTCAGACCAGGGATTTAGCTCAGTGGTTCCGCCACCTGCCTCGCAAGCACAAGGACCCAAGTTCGATCCCCAGTACCAAAGAAAAACAACAACAACAACAAAATGACTGCTTTATTGTTTTGTTTTGTTTTTGGTACCTGGGATCAAACTCGGCTCCTTGTGCTTGTGAGGCAGGCGGCAGAACCACTGAGCTAAATCTCCGGCCCGTTTCCTTTCTTTTAAAATTAAAGATCATAGTAATGAACGTTAGCACCAGAATTGGGGGTGGTGAGGATCTAGAGCATTGTCTGGTTCTCCGTAGGAAATTAATCCAAAGGAGACTATATTTTCCTTTACAGTTTGGAATTATCAAAATAAATGTGTTCCTAGGAAAAACCCATACATTTAAAATTATTGTAGGCATTTTGATCTATTAGGTAATTTGTCAATCACCAGGATTCTGTTGGGCCCGGGATTTAGCTCAGTGGTTCCACTGCCTGCTGTGCAGGCACAAGGACCCGAGCTCAATCCCCAGTACCAAAAAACAAAACAAAACCAGGATTCTGTAGGGAAAATAATGTTGCTATTTTGGGCAGTGTGGAGTAAAATTATGGATCTAAGTAATGAAACTTTGCTTTATATAATGTGGTAAGATTTATAGCAAGGGATTTCAAAATCCTATACTTAACTTGCCTAACTTGAGATGTTCACTAATTAGATGATTAACTTGTTTCACATCCAAAATGATCTTCCTCTTGGTTACATTTATCACTTTAGTAGTATATTTGGTTCTCTTTAAAAGTGAAGGTTGTAATGTTTAACAGCTTACATATTCTGACAGATGAACTCCCAGCAAGCCCAGATGACTCCGATAATAGTGTGTCAGAGAGTCTGGATGAGTTTGACTACTCTGTGGCTGAGATCAGCCGTTCATTCCGGTCACAACAAGAAATATGTGAGCAACTCAACATCAATCACATGATCCAAAGAATCTTCCTCATTACTCTGGACAACAGTGAGTTACTGACTTGTAACACTTTACTCATTATTCTGCCTTCCTACTTGGGGTTGGGCTAGAAAGTTATTTGGCTCATGGAAACCTCTTGCATCTAATGATTAAACAAACGCACAATACTCCCTGGAACACAGGGTTTCTATTTTAGAGGAGGTTTTGTTGTGACTTGAGAACAATGTTTAGACTGATCTTTCATTTCCATTTTGATACTATCCAGGCCATGTAGCTACTTGTCTTTACTACCTTGAAAGGGAAATGAGAACAATAGCCAAGCCCATTTTCTTCTGATATAGCCCTGAGAGGAGCCCATGTTCTGTCATAGGAGTGAAAGGGAGGGATTGACATTCTATATCAAGATCACTCTGGTATTACCCAAGGCAGTCTTGGAGGTCAAGACAAATTTTTTTTTTTTTATGTGAAGATTAATTGTCTATGTAAGACCAGGAGCATTATTCTTAACCTGTCAGATTAAAATCTTTCCCAGGTGATCCAAGCATGAAAAGTGGGAATGGTATCCCAAGCCGTTGTGTATATTTGGAAGAGATGGCAATAGAGCTAGAAGATCAAGACTGGCTTGATATGAACAATGTTGAGCAGGTACCATTCTTACGTTCCTAACATGTGCCTTTAACAAAAATTAGGATGTAACTGGATACTGCTCATGGTTCTCTAACTATGACTTTGCTTGCCTCCATCTCTTACACTGCTGTGGAGTTCCTTTTGTGTAATCTTCTAATTGCCCATTATCATATGTCCAAATCTACCAATCCTTTAAGAACAAGTTAAATAAAGCTAGGTGTGGTGGCACATGCCTGTAATTCTAGGAGGCTGAGGTAGGAGGATCACGGAGTTCAAGTTTAACCTAAGCAATTTAGCAAATTATCAGGACCCTGTCAAAATAAAAAAATAAAAAGGGCAGGCCAGGGATTTAGCTCAGTGACACTGCGCCTGCCTGGAAAGTCCAAGGTCCTGAGTTCGATTTTTGGTACCAAAAAAAAAAAAAGTTAAAAAGGACATGGCTGGGTATGTAGCTCTGTGTCGAATCCACAGTACTATAAAAAAAAAAAAAATCCTGGAGTAATCTGTCTGGGCATCTCTAATGGGAATACTATAGTCACTTTCTGTCTCATGTTGTGGCTTTTTTATGTACCTGGTTTACCTTTCCTATTAGTTTCTTACTTTCTTTAAGGGCAAGGCCCATCTCTTTCTTTTTATTCTTTTTTTTTTTTTTTTTTTGACCAGGGATCCAAACTTAGAACTTTGTGCTGCCAAGCAAGGGTGGAGAAGCACAGTCTTAGAGATGCTTCAGGTTGTTCGCAGTGTACCTAAAAACCACAGTATATCTTTTCTTTTTGTGTTTTTTTTTTTTGGTACCGGGT